AAAAAAAAAAAAAAAAAAAAAAAAAAAAGAAAAGAAGAAGCGCCTCACGGCAACACCACCGTGTTCTTCGTGTTCTTGGACTTTGACTGTGAGGGAATTCTCTCCATCCACTTGAACCAATCCTATCGGAGATGGACGTTGAATTTGGAGGATTTGGTTTTTGAACAGCTTTACAATGTTCATAGGGATGTAACTTCTATACCATATATCTGTCTATGACCTTTATTAAATAAATCGTGTGGATTTGAGTAAGCATATTTGCACAATAACGGACATTTGGTTTTGTATAAACAGATAGAGATAACAGAAAGAAAATGAAGAAGTAGAATTGACTCGCAGGGCCCTCCAACCAATCACTAAACAAAATACTTCATGCGTAGATCTGCTGTCTTTCAGCCACACCCCTGATCTTCTGGTAGAAAAGATCTACATCTGTCCTTCTCGCCTGCACGGACAAGGGCGAAAAATCTCGGAGGCCCTGTGTGCAAGTTGCGCACGTTAAAAAGATTCCTTAGAGGCCCAAAATCGATAAGAGCAGGCTTCGGTTGGCACCCGGGCAAAATTCAAAATTTCCTACCAACTGAAAATGTTTGGTGTGTCCCGCGCACTCATATCACCGTATGCAGTTGCGAGCGCCGTAAAACACTTACTAAAAAACAACAAAAACAACAATCCCCCCCCCCCTTCAAAATCGAGAAACGATCACGGCTATGGTTGAATGCACAACACCAATCACTACAAAGAGAGAGAAAGTCTCTACCCGTCTTCTGCCTTAACCCCTTCACAGGTGCGGAAAAGTCTAGTAGACAAACAACTGGTGGCCATGACTTTGCAAATTGCACAAACTTCACGTAAGAACCAGAGCTCAGAACTACGAGCGAGCTGTGTGTTTTGTAAAATCACTATCAGATCTGTTGGCCTACTTTGCCCTCACCGCCCCACTCGACTTGAATCCTTTTGCATAGATTTCTTCTTCTTCTTCTTCTTCTTCTTCTTCTTCTTCTTCTTCTTCTTCTTCTTCTTCTTCTTCTTCTTCTTCTTCTTCTTC